ATTCTTTGCTGCATATTTTTCTCATTTAGTGCTCTGAATATAGCATGCCAGTCCTTTCTGGCCTGCCAGGTCTCTGTGGATAGGTCTGCTGCCAATCTAATATTTTTACCATTGTAGTTTGCAGACCTCTTGTCCCGAGCTGCTTTCAGGATTTTTTCTTTGTCCCTGAGACTCGTAAGTTTTACTATTAGATGTTGGGGTGTTGACCTATTTTTATTGATTTTTGAGGGGTGTTCTCTGTGCTTCCTGGATTTTGATGCCTGTCTCCTTCCCCAAATTAGGGAAGTTCTCTGCTATAATTTGCCCCAATATACCTTCTGCCCCTCTCCTTCTTCTTCTGGGATCCCAATTATTCTAATATTGTTTCATCTTATGTTATCACTTATCTCTCGAATTCTGCCCTCGTGATCCAGTAGTTGTTTCTCTTTTTCTCAGCTTCTTTATTTTCTATCATTTGGTCTTCTATATCACTAATTCTCTCTTCTGCCTCATTTATCTTAGCAGTTAGAGCCTCCATTTTTGATTGCACTTCATTAATAGCCTTTATTTCGATTTTTAGTTCCTTTATTTCTCCAGAAAGGGTTTCTCTAGTATCTTCCATGCTTTTTTCAAGCCCAGCTAGTATCTTTATAATCATCATTCTGAACTCTAGTTCTGACATCTTACTAATGTCCATATTGATTAGGTCCCTGGCAGTCGGTACTGACTCTTGTTCATTTTTCTGAGGTGAGTTTTTCTGTCTTGTCATTTTGTCCAGAGAACAGATGAATGAGAGAACAAAATGCTAACAGGGTAACAATGACCCCAGAAAAATATGTACTAAACAAATCAGAAGAGACCTTCCAGAAAGTGGTCGCTTTTCTGTTCAGAGAGTTGCTGCTACTCTTTTCTTCAATCTCCTATTGAGTTTGTAGGTGTTCAGAATGGTTTGATACCTATCTAGCTGCATTCCTGGGACCAGATGAAATTTAGGTCTCCTACTCTTCCACCATCTTTCTCCCCCTCCCCATTATTTCTTTTACTAGAAGAAATGTATCAGATTTCATGACTTGCTTAAGGTCAGCCAAGTAGTAAGTGGTGGAAACAGAACTCTAACATGGTGGCCTCTTCTTTCTTTCTGGTACATACTTTAGGGTGGGGAGGAGAGATAGGTTTTTTGAAAAGTAAGCTGGTTTGTGATTATAAAAATTAGGTTCTTTTCCAACCTATGGGAGAAGGCCCTGAGAAAATGTGGTTATTGTAAGAAATTCAGGGATACACACACACATGCACATGCACACACACACACCAATAATTATCAGAAAATGGGCAGAGAAGGTTGCAAGAGGACCCAGTCCCCTTTACATAGTTGAGGCTCCTAGAGTAATGAAATCCCCAAAGCACCCAGAACCTGGTGGTGGTTTAGATCTGACCATCTCGAACTCTTGATGGTGAGAGACCAGTACTAGATTTTGTTCCCTCAATCTGTTTTGGACTAATATGTGTTTAAAAAAACAAAACAAATCTCCCTTCCCAAAACACACCCAGTGAAAATAGAATACTCTTAATTTCCACACTTGTTTCATGGAAGACCGGTAACAAAGTGTTGACATTCCCTCACAGTCTATAGACCATATTTTGACTAGCATTGGTTTAGATTTTTAACACATTAAAAAAACTACAGTTGAAAAAATTGTATTCACGATATTTTAGTACAGTATTTGTAAATCAATCCATAGTGTGTTCTAGGTGGTGAGGACCAATAGTATTGGGACATACGTTTAAACATGTGTGGTGAACACATTCTTTGTTCAATGCTGTCAGTGGATTTCTGAGACCTACTACATAACCTCATTTAGAGACAGCATCCAAAGTCTATACTTAAGGCACTTTCTTGAGGCACAGATCACACACTTATGTCCTAATGTTTTTCTTATGTGCTACTTTTGTGATAAAACATGACTTAGGTAATAGCTCTAAAGAATTTATATTAACTGTTTGAATCCCCCTCCCCCATTCAGTCAGTATTGAAAGGACAACTGTTGTCTTGTGGGAGAATAAAAAATTTGACATTAAAAATTGAAGTCCCTATACTTGAAATCTTTGATAACTATGTCTCCACATAGACATTGAAGGATTTGGGTGAAAGTTGGCTAATTCCACTATGTTTGTGGAATCTCCATCTCCCCTGGGACTTTAGTGTCTTCCAAAGGCTCACTGTCTGTTCCCAGACCCCAGGTTTTCTATGAGAAAAAGCAGTTCCTTGTTTATTCACTCCATAACTTCCAGTGTGCCAGGCAGGGTGGTGAACAGTGGCTTCTACTCTCAGGAAGCTCAGGAGGAAGCAAGTGGAGGATTTGAGTCAGTTCAACAGAGTTCCAGGAGTGGGAGTTGGGAACAGACCTAGTGTTCACCCCAAGGCCCTCCCCTGCCATGAGGTGTGTGGAACTGGCGGCTGGACGCCCTCACATACCTGACCCTGAATGAGCTCTTCTGACCCTTGGGCCTGGGCCCGGGTGGTCTTTTATTTAACGTAAGAACTGGGCTTCGTGCACAGAAGTGATAATAGGTAGTTAAATGCCTTAAGAACTTGGTCCAGATTTCCAGGCAGAGCAGAACGTGAGGCTGTAAGCTGGCTTTCTTGGCAAGAAGCAGCGACACAGAGCATCTGAAGATGACGAGGCTGGCTGGCAGCCCCTAGGCGCAGGGACCATTTTTGTTCCTGAGATTAGGAAACACTTTCATTTTTGTGAGTTGAGGTATAGACAATTCTCCATGGGGAAAATGGGCTCCCCCCCCCCCCCCGCCCCAGTGACGTCTGCAACCAGGTACAGTGTTTGCACTTCTCACACATGGGGGAAATTCCCCTAGACCCATGCTTCTCAAAATGAATGAACATGTGAATTACCAGGCTATCTTGCTGAAATGCAAATTAGGTTCAGTTGGTCTGGAGCTGTGCCCGAGATTCTGTGTTTGCAACAAGCTCCCTCCTGGGTGAGGCTGAGGCCACTGCTCTGCGGTATTGCTGGTCTGTGGGCAGAGCTTTTAGGAGCAGGGGCCTGGTGGCCTGGAAGCATGGGAACTGGCCTCACCTGCTTTTGTGGAAGATACTGATTTCTGTTTCATCCCCACTTGTGTATTCCGCTCAACACAATGTCTACAGTGGCGTTTCCTTTTCTCAAGGGTCTTATGTAATATGAGAGAGTTGTATGTATTGGTTGATGTGTTTAATCATTTTTAAAAAAAATCTTTGCTGTGCTTTTAAGTACATTTTCAGGGCAAAATGCTAGCTGTCAGGCACAATCAAGTTCTGCTCACTCCCACATCATTACAAAGCATTGCTTTGACCCACATATCTTGTGTGTCTCGCATATGGTGGGGACAGTCCAACATAGTAAATCCTAATGCAGAGAGCTTGGCAATCCAGTCACAGACTGACAGACTCACATGTTATGTTCAGTGATTTGATTCTCCAGCAGCCTCTTAACTGTGGATGCATTAGAGAGTAAATCTGTAAAAGGAACTAAATCCATTGATTATATCGTGGGCATCAGATACAGCTCGTCATTTGACCTTCCAGGGTTAAAAACAATTAGAGAAATCTGAAAACAAATTCCATTTTGATGTTTTGTCCCTTTTGAGCTACATTAGATGGTTTCAGTAAAGGAAGTAAAGGCTCAAAGTTTATTCAAAATTAAACTCAATGTGATTTCAGGAGAATCGGGGCTTCATATCACAATATGTGTTTATATGCCCCCATCCTTTATTCAGTGCAGTACATCCCAGGCCAGTGAGTGGCTTTTTCATCAACTGTCTGAGCTGATGTTAGTAGTTTCTAATGAAAAGATAATCATGTAACATAGATCAAACTCCTCTTCCGAAAATATTTTTAGTGGATTGGAGGAGTGGCTCACTTAGTGTCTCTAATTTCTTCATTTACTTTTATATGTCACATTCTACCCCTAAAATATTCCATGGGTCTGTCAGCAACTTTGATTGAAGCAGAAATTAATCTTATCACATATCTTGATGAAGGCTTGGAAGAGTCCTTGCTATTAACAGGGTTTTGTAGTAATGGTATTCATCTTAATCAGATTTGGCTGACAAATCTCTCACAGAATTTTAGAAGGAAAAATAATCTAACCGACTCATTTTACCCATGTGAAACAGCTGGGGAGTTTGCCTAAGGTCACCTGGGCCTATCCCAGTCTGTCATCCCCCCACCCCCACCATCTCCACATCCTTTAAGGATGTGATGCCCTGGCTTTGAGGCCCAAAGCTGCAGGTTTTCCACCTTTCCCAGTGGGGGGCAGGGTGTTCCGTCTAACACCATTCACTGTAGTCCCATAGCATCCAGATTGGGCCTTCTAGCTGAGTTGCAGTGCACTCACTAGTCTCTGGGAGACAAAATAGTGTGGTAGGAGCCCTGATTCTATAGCCAGGTGGCCTGGGTCAAATGCTACAGCTTGTGTGACTTTGGGCAGGCCACCGAGGCTCGGTGCTTCTGTTTCTTTAGATGTATTGGGGACCTTCCTCATAGGATCGTTATGAAGACTGAGTGAGTGAATACCTGTGGAGCAATTACGGCAAACATTCAGGTGCACTGTATGTGGAATTATATGTGGGTTTGTGAATGGTGGTTCTCCACTAGGTATTGAGTTGTTAAATCAGTGTTCTGAATCATAAATAGCTTTAGAAAAGTTAAATGGCCCATAACAGAATAAAATAGAACATATTAGAATACACTGCATCTATGCAGGGTGTTGTTTGGTGTCTCTTTGGCTCTCTTTTTAGTGTTCCTTTGGCTGTGTGTGTGTGTGTGTGTGTGTGTAATGGTTCACAGGGTAAAAATGTATTTCTCACTGTGGATTGTAGTTAAGAGTTTAGAAGTCTCTGCTCCAGGGACTGGAGTGAGCTAATCCATTTCTCTAAATGCAGACCTATGGGGTGAATGGGGCACATTTTAGACATGAATGTACAAGATGAGCTCTGGCTGAAACTTAAATGTGCTTCTTTTGCAGAGGGAGACCAAAGGGCAGTTTCTTATTGACCACATCTGCAACTACTACAGCTTGCTGGAGAAGGACTATTTTGGCATTCGTTATGTGGACCCAGAGAAGCAGCGGGTAAGAGCCAACCTCTGTCTGGATCCATTTGGGGGAGTGGCTCACACTGTGGGTGACCAAAGAGGTTCCTATCAGACCAATCAAGATGTATTCTTGTTCTCATGGTCATTGACCACTTGAAAATGACTGGCCCAGGGTGTGTGTGTGTGTGTGTGTGTGTGTGTGCGTGCGTGTGTATGTTTGTAAGAGTTTGGCACTGTTCCCACTGGACTGGGTAGGGCAGGAGAAGGGAAAATTTACCTGAGACCTTTCCAGAAAGCTGCTCCCACTCAGTTCCTGTGTCTTTGAGAAGCTTTGACAAACAGTGGGCTCAAACAGTGACTACATAAAATCTCATTGTGGAGAAAATCCACCTCTCACTATAAAACTATTGGTAGAAAGGGGAACAGGAGAGACTGCTTAATAGGTACAAAGTTTTCTTCTCAGGTCATGAAAATGTTTGGAACTTGATATAGGTGGTGCTTATATGACATTGTGAATGTCTTAAATACCAATTGTACACTTTAAAATGGTTAATTTTCTTATGTGAATTTCATTTCAATTAAAAAAAAAAAGCTCTTGGCAGATGAAGGGTTAGGATAGTTTGAAAGCTGCTCTTTGAACACTGGTAAATTTGACAGCCCCCATTATATCCTTGTTCCTGGATATACCTGCCCTTGTTGGTATCTGTTGATTTTTGTAAGAGTGAGCAGAGGAGTCTTGCCTTTTGAGTTGGGTACTGTACCAGCATATATATATATGTATGTATATGTATGTATATGTGTGTGTATGTGTGTGTATGTGTGTGTATGTGTGTGTATGTGTGTGTGTATGTGTGTGTGTACGTATATGTATATATATATATATTCATGACATATGTTGGATTCAGTGATATATGTCCCTCACATCTAAAGGTCCCAGGAATCTCCATCCCAGCTCCCACCACCTGGGGTTTCCCATTCCTGTAACCCTGCTGTGGGTCCCAACTATGGATTAGGATGCCCTGTACCTGCTCTGATCTCTCCTTATTAGCCTTTCCCATGGCCAAGCAGGGCAGTGTGTGTGTGAAAGGGTCAGCTGTGGGTGGTCTGGGATGGGGGGGACAAGTCCACTCTGCCTTCTTTAATTTGTCTTCCTCCTGTTGGTGTCCCTGGTCATCTTTCTCTCCCCTCTTCCCTCTCCACAGTTCCACTTGGTTCTTAGTTTCATATTTACTAATCCAATACAATGAGGAGAGGCTTACCGAGTGTATTCTTGTAAAGGAGCAGGCTGTTTAAGGAACAGATTAGATTTTGTTCTGAAAGCTGGGGAATCGTACTTAGCTTTTAGAGTCCAGTAGGACCTAATCTTCTCTAAACACATACCATGTGGTGGCTCAGAAAGAGATTTTGCTTTCCTATAGCACTTGCAGGAACTCTCTAATGGGCCAAACATTTACCTGAGTGAGAGGGAGGTAGCAGGATACTAGTGAGGATGTAGGACTGACATGAGGTCACAGAGGGGATTCATGTGACATTTTCTACTGTTAACAGTTGTTCCCAGACCTGGCCCTGCAATAAAATCACCTCAGGGGCTTACTAACAATGCTGAGCGTAGACCCTCTTCTGGACCTCCTGAATCAGAATCCTTGGGGCTAGGACCAGGAACATGTATTTTAGCACATCCTGATTCTACTTTTGATGCAGCCATCCCAGCTTTGGTCTTCAGGCTGATGTTGGGGACCATGGCATAAAGATATTCATAGATACAGCTTCTTGTGGCTTATGAAGATATTACCCTTTTTTTGGAGAGAGAAACAGGTTCATAGATATCTGCCCAAGGTCTCACAGCTAGTAAGTGATGGAGGGAGTATTGAGTTCCCTGTGGGTCAAACAGACTCTGTTAGATGACTAATATAGTCAACTAACCACCACTGAATATAGATTCTTTTTGTGCAAAATCCCATCCTAAACTCTAAACAAGCAACCTTCAGAAGTAATTCTAGCTACCATTAGTTGAGCATCTGTCATATGCCAGGAATTCTGTCATGGTCTCTAGTCTTCTCTACAACACTGTAAGGAAGGGGAAAACCGAGGTACAGAGGGTCAGTGGCTTGTCTAAGGCTACATGGCTAGTAATTAATGGTGGAAGGATGATATCTGAACCCACATTCTTTCCACCCATCTCCCAAGTGAAAATTTGAAACCTAACCTAGACCAGGGATTTGTAGACCTTTTCCATAAAGGACCAGATAAAAAATATTTTCACTTTGTGACCCATACAACCTCTGTCATAATTTTTCAATTATTTTATTCTAGTGGAAAGCGGCCATAGACTATACCTAAATTAATGGACGTAGCTGTGTTCTAATAAAACTTTTTTTCCAATGAAAGTATTTTATAAATAGGCAACGAGCCATAGTTTGCTGACCCTTAGCCTAGATAATATCTGGAAACCACTTTAATGCATAAGCTGTTTTTATTTCTTTTGACTCATTGGGAAGATAACCTATTAAGAGAAGTCTTTAGAATTGGAATCAGATGTTGGTATGAACTCGTGGTTTTTCAAAAAATTTAGACATAGACACTGAAATATAGACGTGCATGTGTGCATGTGGGCTAGTATGTGTACGTATATAGTTCCCGGTTCTGTTTTCTGAGATGGCCTAGAATCAATGACCCTACAGTAGCAGTGAGCACACCTACCCCCTAGATCTTGGTTTCTAAATATCCTTTCCTAATAAAAGGAACAAGGGCTCCTTGAAAACATGTCTGATTCTAGGGCAGAGTCAGGGACATCACAAGATGAGCCTGGAGCATGTTGTCATGCCAGAAAGTAAGGAACCGCTCAGAAGATAAAAGGTCACTAGAATGACACAGAACCAACCTGAAAGAACTGCCAGTGGCCAAAAATGGAAAATTAGAGGGACAAAAAAGAAATAACAATAGCATTGGATTATAGTCCATAAAGTGAAATATCCATGAGCCATATGGATATAAGTAATTGAATAAATAAATAAAAGGGGGAGAAGAGAGAGCTCTTCCTTACAGATGAATTCCAGTTAAGTGTAGAAGGAATGAGAGATGATTGTACACAATGATTGTGATGAATGCTAAAATTAGTGGACAGAAGTTTGAGGAGAAACAAGATATCTGTATAGTCTCAAAGTACTCCTCCCCGCCCCCCATATCTTTTGATTACAAAGGGAGAAAGACTAACTTTATAGTGGCGAAACCTGGCAGGCACCACTTTAACCAAGCCATCAAGGTTATCACCAGGGAGAAGACATTCCAATATCATGTACCCCCTGATGATCCTGCACTGAGGAGGGCACGTCGTCCCTGTGGTATTCTTCCCAATAATGCTGCACTTCATTCAAATCTTGAGGAAATGTAGGAGAGCCTGAAGTGAGAGACATTCTCCAAAACAACTTAACTATATTCTTCAAAAGTACTGAAGTCCTGAAAGACAAGGAAAGACTGTGGAACTCTCATAGATTAGAGAGACACATCAACTAAGGCCATGTGGGATTCTGGATTGGATTCTGGAACAGAGAAAAGTCTGACAGTGGGAAAACTGGTACACTCCAGATTAAGTCTGTAATTCAGTTAATAACATTGTGTTAGTATTAGTTTCTTAATTTCAATAATTGTACTGTGGTTACGGAAGATGCTAACATTAAGGGGAGAGGGTGGTTATATTTATACCTTAGTCATCTGTCTAAAATTATTTAAGTTAAAAAGTGTTTAGGTTGATGTGCTTCATTGTTCTTTATATTTTGACTTGGTTGAGCTTAATTTTTAATATCTAGATTTGGGTAGTAGATTAGTGGAAGAAATGTGGGCCTCACTCAAAACGGTCTTATCTGATGTATCCACTAAATTGCTTACAGGGTTGCTTGAATCATTTTCCACACTGCATCATAGCCTTTTCTAGACTTTTGATTCTGAGGATTCAGTGGGAGTGTAGCTTTCACTTGGGTTGCAGAGTAGTTACTACACGAAACCGCATGGACTTTGTACTCAAAAAGATGTGCATTAAATCCCACCTCTGCTGGTCAGTAAGCTGTGTGATCTTGACCAAGTTATTGAGCCTTTCTGAGTACCTGTCCTGATGGTTAAAACAGATAACGGTACCTACCTGTAGGGTTGATATGGGAATTCAAGATAAAGTTTAACAAACGGTATATACCGAGTACATGCTATGTTATTTTTATTGTGAGTCTTATAATTATTATGCATTGGTTTGGTCTAGGTGAGGCAATCATATGAAGAAATTCAACCATGGTTAGGAAGTCTAAAATCTAGAAATGTTCAAAACTGCTTTTAAAGGCAGGATGGCCATTGTTATGATCTTTGGGGAGACAGGTGTGAGCCTTGGGTAATTAGAAGAATGGGCTCAGAGGCACAAAGACGTGCTAATATGGGAGTTTTAAGCAGAGATGAATTGACCAGCATTGGTAGTTTTACCAGGTCGTGTACTTTTTCTCAGTGGAAACTAAAACTGATGGATTATTTGGATAGAGAGCTAATCAACAGAAAATTTAGTTAGAAAAGCTGAAGTGGAACTTACCTTTGCTGTGGGAGTTGGTGGTTTGCCTACAACTTTTCACAACTTGACTTGCAGAAAACCATTGTGGAATATTAAATATTTAGCACTATTACATTTGGAACAGCATATGTTTGACAAGATGTCTCATGCCCCATATGCTCTGAGAGTGATGAGGACTGAGTTAGTAAATGATGACGATCTTTTGTTATTTTAGTGGCAAGGGTTCAGAATATCCATTAGTTTTAAAATTTGATGTAGGGAGGGGCAGATTGAACACTGGTCAGTAAAAATCCCCTCGAGTTTCTACCATATTCTTTTTTTTTTTTTTAACACTGAAAAATGTTTTATTGCTTTGAGTTGGCTGAAACAAAGTGGGAGAGATATAAAATGTGAAAATATTCTTAGTAACACAAAGATACACATACTGTCTTATATTAGTGTGTAATATTAAGTGTCAAATATGTTACATTTTGAAGCAAAATTAAAACTAT